TGACTTTTGCAGTTGAATTGCAAGTAACCTTGAAGTTTACCCAAACATTCCTACACAGTAATTGCAGCAGCTTTTCTGGAATTTTGTGAATAAGAAGACTATGGTTATGGAGGAGACTGAACCTTGCATCTAAAGAAGTTACAGCTGGTGAGGACCTGGGGCTCAACTGCAGATTTTAAGAACCATATTCTAATCACTTGCTCACTGATTCTTGGCAATTGGAAGCAATGTCATAGCAGTGAAACTTGTGCCATATTTTTCAGTGGCCAAGCTGCAAATTAAATGAACTATAAAGGTCTCTACAGTACAGGGCCTCTACAGTACAGGTTTATTGAACAAAGATGTTAGGTCTCAGTTTACATACCTACTATTTCTTCCTGCCTTTTCTCTCACACTTATTTTACTCCTCTTGTCTGTTTTATTTCAAAGACTTTTAGGTCTTCTTTCTTGACATATAGATAGATATACAGAAAAGAGAAACAAATATAAATGCAATACAACAAATACAATAAAATCTTTTTTAAAAATCAAACCTAGAAAATAACAAAACAAAGACAGCAGTGCATACCTTTTCAGACCAGCCATCTCTCATTGCATATTCTGAAACCCTGACATAATTCCATTCTAAAACAGCAAGTAGCAACAGAGACTTGGCTATGCTCTTTCACGAAAAGCAGAATAATTGGGGTTTGCTTTAAAGAAACTAAATACACCCCTACTGGGAGGAAACTGCAAAAATATAGGGGCATCCATGAAAGGGCCCTGTTTTCCATGCACACCTATTAAACTATTTCCACTGTAGTCATATAAGTAGGCTTTACATAGCTATCCTTTAAATAACCCAAACTGTGAAGGGCTTTAAACATCAGAACCAGCACTTTGTATTAGGTCAGAAGCAAAGGATTCTGGATTGGTGTGATTTGCTCCAAACTATGGCTCCTGCCAGCATCAGGGCTTCTGGATAGTGCCCTAGTGAAGTTTCTGAACCACCTTCAATGGCAGTCCCACCTCAATCATAGACTAGTGTCTGTGTGACCATGGTATGGTTAACTGTGGTGTGATCCCCCATGACTGGATGGTAGCAATGAGCTTCTGCTGAGAAAAGGCACTCACAGTGAATATCACAGTGCTGTGCTTGCACAGATAGCACTGAGTTTATATCAGCTGCCAACTCTTATTTATGAATTAATTCCCACAGTTATGTCTCCAATATTGAGTTAAGCAACAACTAGATAACCATCAGCACAGAGGCAGACATGCTAGAAATAACAAGGATGAAATCAACTCATCGGAGCAGCCTGAAGAACTGTGGCCCTGAAATCTGGACACGTGAAAGATGCATGGTACCTCAGCCACCAGACTGTCTCCACATTCTTTCTAAAGGGCCCGTGAGAAAGGATATGTGGGTTACTTTGGTCCTTGCTTTCTCTGCACACTTCCGGGTCTCATCTGGGAGAAGGTGCATCTTGAGCAAAACCTAGACACATGAAGGAAAGGAGAGCAAGCTATACCAATGGCTTCTCTCATCACTTCTCTGCAAGGCCCAAGCATGGCCAATGGGGCAGACACTTCTACTTCCTGAGTGGTGAGAAATTTGTTCTGTTGAGATTTGTACGCAAATTTACTAAATTTGCAACTAATAAGTAAACAGAGCCAGCGTTGCACACAAAAATCCACACTTTTCTGAGCTTGAGAATGCTCAGGAGGGGAAGGTAATGGGGAAATTCATCCAAAAATGTGCATATTATTTATTCATTATTTACACTCTTCCTCTCTATCGAGGATGTGGAAGACAACACTGTCTGGGAAACTAACCCCACTACATTCTGTGAAGAAGGCAGGGGCACTGTAGGATAAAAGTCTTGTCTGGAAGCACTCAGAGAGAAAACGAGAACTTGACTGTTTGTATCTGGGGTTGCCTGAAACTAATTGTGAAGAATAGAGATGAGTCTGATGTCTGCCTATGGGAGTATGTTTGCCTTCCCTCTGCTCTGCTTGTATATTTGACTGCAGTATCCACTCATCCAAGAGCTTTTGACAACTAGCTGGAAAGTGGGTAGTAGGTAGCAGTGACATTATTCTTCCTATTTCACTTAAGAGTTTAGCCTTCAGGTCATTCGGAAGGCTCAAAAAGCTTGTTCCTCCGGTGCATAAAACCTGACATGCTGACTTCCCGCTTTTACTCATGTTTTTAATTAGCCAGGCCAACTGTAGGCTACGTACACAATTCTACTAAGTCATTCTTTAGCGTGACTCACCCTGAAGTCATGAGTTGCTGGATACAAATGAATACATGACACACTCAAATGTCATGGCATCTCCCAGAAGACAAACAAACAGGAAGCCATTATTTAGACGGGCTTTTGGTATTTCTAGGCACATATGGGCAGCCCAGTCCAGTAGGATGAGAGGCTGAAACCTGTGTAACAGGAATTCATAAGCCAATGGTGGGGGATTGTAGCCAAAACTTCTGGGGCGGTGCATGAGTTGCCCACAGATGAAGCTATGCTGATGCCCAAAAGCTATAAAATCCTCTGAACAATATATGGATGGGTAGGTATAGGTAGGTACTGCTACAACAGAGCGTTGAGGAAGAAAAAGTCGGTGCAAAAGTCAGGACAGGCTCAGTACATGGCCAAAACATGCAAAAGCCACATTCTGATCTGTTTCAAGCATGTCACGAGGCCTGGATGGTGTCGTCTTAGAGTCTGGGACACAGCCTGGTGCTGCTTCCTCTTCAACAGTCTGAGCTAATTGATTTTATCCTCACTGCTACAACAACAAGGCTTGCCTGTTGTGAATTATGCATCATTATTTACTAGTGTACAAGACATGGCACAGGAATTAAGACAACAAACTCTTTGCCCTGTGCTTTCTTGTGTTGTTTTAAGCTGCATCATACGCTGTGGGCACTTTGAGGCTGGGATTCTGCACTCTGTTCTGCACTCAGAAAAGGAAAAGAACATTTGTTGTGCCTGGAATATATTCGTGCATATATTCCCATGCATCTGATAAATGTCAATGTATAAATGACTGAGGTGCCGTAGGACTCTATAGCTTTTGGCGCAAAGGTGGAGAAAGGTGTTTCCCTTTGGAATTTATTTTAATGGGAACTTTTAGTTAAAGAAATTGGGCTGGCTGAAGTTTACAGACTGTGGCTTTTTTCAAACACAGTGTCTTTGTGATGAGTTAAAGGAGCACACACGGTGCTTTTTTTTGTCATAGGACGCACCAGAATGGAGTTCCGGCACCTTTTTCGACAGATTTTCCAAGTTTTAAAAGTAACTTTGGAAAATTTGATGTTTGGATTTGAATTGCCCCGTCGAGCGTAGCAGGTCGGCAGCAAAATCATTAAAACGGTGCATGCGGGCTGCTTGTGTGTCAAGTCCGATGCGTGCGTACTTTGTCCGTGCTGGTTGTGATGGTGCTGCTCAGCTTGTGGTGCTGCTCAGCTTGTGATTGGTCGTGTGGTCACGCGCTGAGTGCTTACTGCGGGCGGCGACCATTGTTTCGTTACACAACTGACATGTGTGGGTGTGTGTACAGTGATTGACTACATGCGAAAGGTAAATAATTTCATGAGCTCCGGCACCTTTTTTCCTACAAAAAAAGCACTGAACACACAGAAGCTTGTGCAGTGAAGGCAAAACAGCTACACAGAGCAGTTAACAAGTTAACAACCACTCCAGATCTATTCTGTGTTGTTTCCTTCTTTCTTGCAGCATTGGGTAAGCTCTTATATACTTTCAGCAAAAGCATAATTCTCTTCAACCCCATACTAGAAAGCTAGTTCTATAAAATGGAGAAACAATAGTATTGTAGTTAGATTACTACATTTTGTACCAGAAATCAGTTTTTGATGAAGACTGATCGGTGAGATTGTATTTATTTAGAAATTTCAGAAAGGTATAAAATATTTTTATAGCATTTTTTACAAATACGTTGTATTTGGATTTTCTCCTTAACTATTGCAACCACCCAGGGCCTGTATACAGTGGGCCATCATTATCCCTGTAGAGGCAACTGGGTGGCAGGGATGGGAATAATGACTACAATTGGGATCAAACAATATGCACTATCCAAAATCTAATTTGAATTGGCTGCAGTTCTAGCTCTGAAACATTTGCACTCCATTATTCCCAAGCTGGTAATAGACAGTCATTTTTAATACCGAGCTGAAGATCATTCAAACGGCTTGGGTCCTGGCTACCTGAACGAGCGCTTACGTCCGTATATGCCCGACCGCCCTTTGAGATCTGCGGGAGAGTCCCTTCTCCGGGAACCCTCCATGAAAGAAATTAGGAGAGTAAGTACCCGGAGGAGGGCTTTCTCTGCGGTGGCGCCCAACCTATGGAATTCACTCCCCAAAGAGGTCCGCCTGGCACCGTCGTTACTGGTTTTTCGGCGCCAGGTAAAGACCTTTTTATTTAAACATCATTTCAATTGTTAAAACATATGATCTGGTCTGGGCAACTTCTTCTTCCTTCTCTTTCTCATCCTATATTTTTATTTTATAATGATAATTTTAATTTTGTATTTGTAAATCAATGTATTTTTTGTATTTTTATATTTAATGGTAATTTATTATGTACTATTGTATTTCAATGTATTTTATCATGTTGTAAGCTGCCCCGAGGTTTCGGCAAGGGGCGGCATAGAAATGTTATAATAATAATAATAATAATAATAATAATAATAATAATAATAATAAATAACACAGTTTTATTTTATATTTATATGCTTGTGGTCTGCACACACATCTCTTTTTGCCTCAGTCTAGTGTGCACTCATACTGGTTGTGCAAGGTTTGTTGCCATCCCCCTCCCAAAGTGCAAAGCTTGTTTGTCTGGAGATAACAATAGGATGAGTGAGCCTGCAGGCAACAGTTACTGTGCCATGCCAGCTTCAACTCCTTCCTTTGCCAGATTTGGAGTTCTTCTTGCTGCAAAATTCCATTTCCTAGCTCTCTGGTAACATCCTCCCCATTTCCTGGCTCCTCTGTTTCCTTTCCTCTGCAAGAGATTTGAACTAAGAAGTCTTTTCTCTCTGCTGCAGAAGAGCGTTCCTGCATTCCCACAAATCTTTCAAGAGGACTCAAAACGAATGTGACCAGCCCAACAAGGTACACTTTCTCCTGTCCATCTCCTATATTAATTTCTGCAGCATTCCAAATCTGAGTGACTCTTAGGCACTGATTCTGTTCTTCCCTCCTCTTGCCCCACCTGCATTTTCTCAAAGAACCCCAGCTAAGCTACATGCTACTGCCAGATGCATGTAACATTCCTGTGGCAGACCTCATAAAACCAAAACAAAACCAGAAAAAGCAGACTTGGGAGACTGCCACTTGGAGCAGAAGAGATGTGCTTCAGCCTTTCTCCTCCTTTTTCTGCTTAAAATCAGCCCTCTCAGCTTCTTCCTCACCACCACATGGCAGAAAACAAGTTCTCCCCTGAGGGGAGAATAGCAGCTGAAGCGGGTGGATCCTAGCAGGGAAAAGAACCAACGGGGAATGAGTCTATCAGCCCACCTCTACTCCTAATGGCAGCTTTCCAAGGCTGCCATTTCTTTTTGGGGGAACAAATGTTACACCAGTGGTTGTGTGCTCAATGGTATATGAACCTATTAAACAGTAAGTAAGAACAGGCTTCCAAGGGTTGCTGAATGCAGCTGACAACACTGGCATGCCAGATTATTGCCTGGGCACTCTGCTGTATGAAGTCAACCTTAGCCAGTATCTTATACCACCATAACAGATGTATAACATTCATATGATCTCATTATTTGTGATCTCGAGTCACCCCGCCAATTGGAAATTGCCCTGTCGTAAGCTCCAAGTCTTGAACAAACCATAAATCTATTGATTTCCAAGTACTTATGCTTTAATTTGTTTAGGGATCACACTGCCTATGATGCCGTCTGTCCAGCATAAATTGCTGTTTAAAGGGGGGGAAAATGCACCGTTTCAGCATTCATTTCTTAAGCTGGCACAGATTGGGCCACTGAGCTCTGCAGTATCCTACATAGATTGGAATGATGCAGATCCAGTTCATTTCTGGCATTGCAACTTCCTGTTTGGGTGTTAACATCAAAATAAAGTCTTAAGTCTTGCTTTTCCCCTTGTAATTTCCTCATTTGGGTGTTAACAGAAACCCAAATGACTTTCTTAATAAAATATGGACTTCTATCCAGTCATACGAAAAGGACTTGGCTTCTGCCAAGGGTATAAATTTCCTCTTGCAGTTACTATAAAGCTGAATTACGGGAAATTGTCCAACCCAAATCCCCACCTTAAATAATTACCTGTGCTTTTCCTAGTTTCTCTACAGTTTTCAACAGAACCAATCATGTCATGTTGTTAGTCTTCTGACACTGTGCAAATTATGCATATTGTGGCATCATTAACCAGAAGTGTAATGTCGTTTGTTTGCTACATTGCTGTCTTTCCTCCAAGGAGTACAAGATACAAACAAATAAATGAGACAGTCCCTGCTAGTGGGCATATTTAAAAAATGATACATAAAGAAACAGGAATGAGACAGGAAGAGGGAGAAATTATTCATTTAGTCCTTCCTTCCATCTAAGGCATGCCTAGATGTATAAATGCTAGAGGTAGCAAGCAATTGACAAGTTATGCAGAACCATCCTCTTATTTAGTTTTTGTTGCAGAAAGAATATGGGCAGTGGGCTACTGTATCCAGTCCAGGTTTTAATCTGAGTTTTTAAGGAACCATCCACAGTGTGGAATCCTACCCCACAAGTAGGTTAATCACCACAGATAGCTCGTTTAATGTTCAGACTGAAACTCAGAGTGGATTTACTACCTCACTGACCTTAAAGTCAGCAGTCACTGATGGATGGGGTGGGGTGGGGGGTTACTAGGACCAGTAGTATATCTCTATACCAGGGTGAAGAAGCTTGGGCCCAGCTCCCCAGTCTGAGTTTCCCAGATGGCCACGTTCCCTTCCCTTCAACCATCTCTCTTTTGGTGGCTTCCCAGCTTTTGTACCGCTTTCCTCCCATTCTGTGAGCCTGAAATGCCTCTCCTGAGACTTCCTTAGTGGCAGAAAGAACATTACAGCTCAGACATGTTAGAATTTTGCTGCTGCCCCTTCTTGCTTTCAGACCAGCCCCTGGGAGATCTTCTCCACTGGACCTCAGCCCCTAGGTTGCACCTCCAGACACCCCTGCTGCACCAGAAATGCATAGCTCCAACGGTGCAGAATAATCACCAATCCACAGCAGCATAAAGCCCCATTCTTCCTGTTTACTTTGATCCAAATGCCCCCCCCCCCCCCCCCAAATCAGGCCCTGCAAATTCATCTGGCTCAAATGGGGCATGCTGGGAAGGAGATGTTAACCCACGCAGGTTAGCATGGGTTGCGTATCGAGTATGATGAGACTTTGCCACCACTCTGCCTCCTTTAAAGAGAGGACACATCCTGTCAATGAAGACCTTCTTAAAGGGCTAACACAGCAGCCTGTGCTGCTCCACCCATCACAACAAAAATGTACACAGCCCAGTTGCACACAGCATCGACCGGTTGCTGGGTTCTAGCAACACACTAGCCCTCATTTCAACTGCCACCCATGGTTCGGCAACAGCCCATGCTAAACCCTTGAGGGAGAAATGCATGGTTGCATGGTGTGAAGGTGAGTAAATACAGATCCATGTACCTGGGTTGATCTATACCTGGGATTGAAGATGAGGAATGGTGTGTCTGAGATCTGGAGAAGGACAAGTAGGGAGATGGTATTGTGTGTGTGTTTGTGGATGGGTAGGTGCGTATCAGCCTTCTGCAATCTGGTGCTTCTCAAATGTTTTGGACTTCAACTCCCACCAGCCTCAGCCAGCATGGTCAATGGTCAGGAGTTTGGGGAGCTTAAAGAATCCATGTTTTTATCAGAAGCTCCCACATAAGAATTTACACTCCAGGACAAAAGAAACTAGTCCTGGGATAGCATCGCTTACTGCTGGGGAAAGAGCAACTCTGCTTTTGGAAAGGCAGTTGTGAAATGGCTTGAAGATTCCATAAATACTCTATATACTACGTTTTTAAAAAAGAGAAAGAAACAATTGCTGCCAGCTGTTTTTCCTTTTCTCAACATAAAATATGAATGGGGAGAATGAAAAAAAATCCTGTACTCTGCCAGCCACTCTCTGCTCCAAATTTTCTTACAAGTTTACCAGGGCTTGCGATTCCAGCTGGCTCATCAGCAGGGTGTAAAGAAAGTCCATCTGCCTTTGTGATTCTAAAATAAAAACATACTTTAAGTGGCTCCCTAACCAGATAGGTTTCATTCTAGGTACTGTTGGTCCCAAATAGATTCTAGGAAAATGGTAAGACTTTCCCCATTACTAAACAGATTCAGGATCAAAGGCTCTTGGTAAAGTGAGAATAGGCTGTGAGGCAGATGAAACATAACATTATTCCTTCTTCTTTTCTCTTCCTCCAAACTATAGGAACATAATATGGTGCTTTAGATCATGGCAGACCACTGAGCCGTCTAGTTCAGTATTATTGTATTATTTACGCAGATTGGAAGTAGTTCTCCAAATAAGCCTTTCCCAGCCCTTGTTATAGTGGCAGTGCCATAGAATGAACAAGAACCAAGTGGCACTGCCAGGACCAGTCCACGGGGCACAGGACAGGGCCTGTGGTCTGAGAGGGTGCCCCTAATTGATCCTTAGGACCTTAAGTTAGAGGAAGGCCTACTAGGGCTGGCATCCCAAATAATTCATTTGGAGGTCCAAATCTCTAGGGAGCCCTCTACCTGTGCATGTTGTGGCATGAACAATAACAGCTAAACTGACTCATTGTGCCTCATGGGTCTTTCATGCAAATGATCTTTGGTTAGTTACTGTCTGTTCCCAAAGGCAGCAGAGGATTCTGCTGATCTTCCACCAGATAAAATATAGAATCTGACTAGTACAAGCTTAAATGAATGGCCCAACTGACGCAATCTATTCTGACTTATGGCAGCTCTACAAGTTCTCAGGCAACTGGTTTTCCTCAGTCCTGCTGCCCAAGGTGGTGCTAGGTACCAAAGACACCCAGGGCTCAGGCACAAAAATGCCTACATTCACATTTGTTGCTTTAAAGTCTGTGGGGATGCATGTGTCTTTGAAGGAGGCTCTCTCCTAAGGGTACTGCTCTTTGTAAAAAAGAAGTGTTTAAACAAATAAGAGGAGGAAACGTGATTTCAGGGGGGGAAATCCCTCAGGAAGAGGGGATGGGGTAACAGAAGGTGAAGCACATGTGGGCTAAACACCAGCTAATCCAGACGTTCAGATGCATCAGTGCTCATCAGGGCCCCCGTTCCTTTATTGCAGCAAATGATCAATGATAGAAAGGAGGCAGAGGGCCTCCTATAATCTTTGGGCTCCAAATGAAATGTGTGGGACTTGCAGGCCTTCCTCTAACACTGCTCCTGCCCACAAGCTGAGATTCTTTTCACTAGAGACACCAGGAATTAAGTCAGAGAGATTTCTCATCTGACCATGTACTATATTGTGGAGCAGCAGCCTGAGACCTCTGCATTCCTGCCATATGGATAGCTGCAAGCACAGTCATATTTTGCTAGTAACTTTGTATTCCCTCTTGCAACAGCCAGAATTCCTTTTCTTAATGCTATTTCAGCAATAGCTTGATTCAGGGTTAGAATGAGGATGTCAGGTCTATTCCTGCCTAATTCTGGGCAATCACAATAAAGCAGAGCAGGTCAGATTATATTCTTTGACTCTTGTAAAAGTTTCCAGGTCCAGCTTTCCTAAGCAAAAAGTTCCTCAGTTCTTGCTAAATCTAGCCCACCTTTGAGCATCTACCAAATATCTGTGTGCTTCATAACTCGAAACCTGCATTGCTAACATTTTGTTGCACAAGAAGAATATTCTAGTTTCACAGTATCACAAGTGAATTGTGGGTGACTTGCTCCAGATCACCCATTCAGATTTCTGGCTGGCTGACTGACTCACCATTACTTGTTTCTTAATCAAGGTTGAAAGATGTTAGTAAGCTTTATTTTTCATTTATCCTTGAAAATGCCATCTGAAGAGTATTATTTTCACTGAGGTAGGGATATCTGATGACTTGCAGTGGCACTTTTGTTCAATGTGCTCCAGGT